CACCGGCAAGCCTGTTGTCACAACAGTGATGTCCGAGCGCCACCACATGGCTGCATGGCACTATGTTCTGTTAGCCTGTCGTTCCCCAAGGCTGCCATGTGGTAGCGTGGGCACGCCTATTTACATACCTGCCGTGTCTCCGCATCATAACATGGCGGCATAGGTATGCATGTCTGTGCCTGCCAGTGCTACAGTGCACAGGGACACTTGTTCACACCCACACTGTGTCCAGGGGCTCACACACAGTGGCACACGCATGCAATTTAACACACCTGTGGTACTCCAGTACCTCCGCATCATGGCACATTCGTGAACGTGTGCATGTCTTCTGGTTCTAGGACAGTCAAGTGCTGGAGTGGGCACACCCATTCACACGTTTGCCATGTGACAGTTCAGATAATCCTGCCAGGTCCCAGGCCACCACATGGCGGCAAGACTCTCCTGTTCGTGCATCTGCCATGTCCCAGTGGCCCCGTGTGGTGGTCCGAGCATACATGCTTACATACCTCCTCAGACCTAGAGCCACCAAATTGCAGGCTGCGCGTGTATGTTCATGGCTGCCGTATCCCTGCGCTGCTGCTTGGCAGTGCTTCACATCTCTTTGCACACCTGCTGTGTCCCAGGGCTGAAATGTGGCATTATTGCTATGTCCCGTGACTGTCACATGACTGTGCAGGCTTGAAGGTACTTTGCAGGCAAAGCCGTCTGGCAGCATAAAAGCTGGTGTTTGTGCTTGCTGTCTCCACCTGGTGGCACAGGATGCTTGTTCATGCACATGCTGAGTCCCAGTATGACTTATGGTGTCACCAGCAGGCCTGGTTACACTTCTGCCCATCTGGAGCTGCCATGTGCCAGCAAAACCACACATGCTCCCATTGGTTCCATCTCTCAGTCAGTGCTGCCATGGGGCGAGGGCTACTCACCTGTCACAAAGCCTTTGACTCCCCAGTACTGCCTTCTGATGACACAGGAACCCCTACCCGCCCTTTGGCAACACAGGCATAACTCTTTGTGGACCTGCTGTGTCCCAGTGCCGCCATGCAACAACATGGCCATGCCGGTTTCCATGCATGACAGATGTATCCAGTGCCTGCAGGCAGCTGTGTGGATACCCTTGTCCCAGGCCTGCTAGTCCCAGCACCACGGTGTGGGAATGCAGCTCGCCTGCCATGTCCAGGCCACCCTGGTGGCAGAGGCACATCTGTTAGCATGCCTGCAGGGTCACAGTGCCACTGTATGGCAGCACAATGCACCTGTTTCCTTGCTATCTACACCCCTGAGCCTCTGGCCAGATCACGCATGTTACGTGTTTCCGGTGGCAGAGGCACATCTGTTTGCATGCCTGCAGGGTCACAGTGCCACTGTATGGCAGCACAGTGCACCTGTTTCCTTGCTATCTACGCCCCTGAGCCTCTGGCCAGATCACGCATGTTCCGTGTTTCCCGTTCCCTAGAGCTACCACATAGCGGGGTAGGAATGCCTGTTAGCAAACACACCATGTTCCACTGCTGCCATGTTGTGATGCTGGAACACATGTTTGCACATCTGCTACATCCCAGTGCCACTGTGTAGTAGTGTGGGCATCCACATTCAAGCACATGCCGTGGTCCAGTGTCAACATGTGGTGGCAGGACACTCCTGCTTCTGTGCCTGCCATTTCACAGGCTGCCGAGACTGTCAAGTGGCATTGTAGGCACGCCGGCTTGTGTGCCAGCTGCGTCCGAGTGTCGTCACACGGTGGCCTGAATGCTTGCTAGTGGCTGCTGCACCCCAGTGCCACCACCCAATGCCACAGTATGCCTACTTTTGCACCCACCGTGTTCCAGCACCAACACGTGGGCAGACCTGTCTACATGGGTGTGAAGTCTGGAGTGGCACATGGTGCTGTACCCATGCAGTCTTCCAGTGCCGCCACATGGTGGTGCTGGCTTTCCTTCTGGGAATCCTGTGGTGTAGCACAAATAGTAAAAACCCAGAGACAGATACTGGGGTTCAACCTGAAGATCAGAAAAGCAAAAGCAGCCAAGCCACTAGAGAGCTCTTACCTCTTCAAAATCTTCAGACTGAAAGAGAGCAAGTTCCTTTCTCTCCCGCAGTAGGGTTAGGTCTGTCCCAGTGCTTGCCACGTCGGTGTCACCAAATGGTAGGATGGCCATGTCTGTTGACATACCTGCTATCCACATATGTGAAGGTGCAGGCATGCATGTCTGAGTACTTGATATGTCCCAGAACCACCACACCATGGTACAGCATCCCTGCTCGTGTCCCAGCACCACAGTGTGATGGTATGGGCACTTATTCATGTGCCTGCCATACACCAGTGTTGCCATATGGTTGCATGTTCCCATTCTTGCAACGTACCAGCCCTGTGGCATGACACACCTGTTCGCTTATCTGCCATGTAGTGCTGCCCTGTGATGGCACAGATGCACACTTTGTGACTGACACATCCCAGAGATGCTACCTGGTGACACGCATGTGCCTTTCCCCACTACACACCTTTGTGCACCTGTGCTGTGTACCAATGCTGTCATTGGGCAATAGTTACCTTTTCTATTGTAAAAGATACCATGAACAAAGCAACTTAAGAGAAACCATTTAACTGGGGACTTGCTCAGTTTCAGGGGGTGAATCCATGAATATCAAGGTGGGGAGCATGCAAAAGGCAGGCAGGCATGGTATTGGAGCAGCAGCTGAGAGCTTCTTTTTTTTTTTTTAAGCTCTAATGATCTACTTTAATTTGTTCTCTATACTTATTACTAAAAATTAGGATAACAAGATTGCCTTTATTACAAATTTCTGTGAACAAGAAAACCCAAAGATCTATTCCAATTATTACCTTCTAAACCACAACACCCCCAAATTCTATTGACATTCTTTCAAGTTATTGAACTTAACCCCAGACTTGAGTTAAGCCAAGACTCACTCTTGATTCTTTAGGTCAAATTAAATTCATTCACGTGCATTCAAACTTCCATTCTATATATCATGTAATGGTAACTGTCCCACTAACCAGAGGCAGATGGCCCAGCAAGTGCTCTTGAAAACCCACCCCCAGAGACATTCCTCCTCCAATAAGGCCACACCTCCTAATCCTTCCCAAACAGTTCACCAGCTGGGGAGGAAGCATTCGAATGCATGAGCCTGTGGGTGCCATGCTCACTCAGGCATCCCACCCAGGAAGGGCATGGGCAAAAACTCTGGAGATAAAAGGAATAAATGGTGTCACTTAGTGAGCACTGACATTTTCCATTTTAGTCTATGCTTCTGAATCATTCAGAAAATGAACTTTTCGTCCGAACGGTGGGGGTGCATGTCTTAAATCCCAGCACTTGGGAGGCAGAGGTAGGAGGATCTCTCTGAGTTCGAGGCCCTCCTAAAGCTCCAAGAGCTCCAGGACAGCCAGAGAAACCGTCTTGGGGAGAAAATTTTTTTTTCTACTTTCTGTATCCTTTTTAAGCATGCTTTAATACTTTGTGTCCCCAAACATTTCTGGCACCCTTACTTTCTCTAAAGCCCCCCCCCCCACCACACACACAGCTGCTTGTGTCTGACCTCCACGTCATTCCGCACAGCTGTTCTAATGCTCTACTCTCTAGTAAGTAGTTAGTGAATTCACTGTCCTGGGCTTGTTCTAAATTCTAATAAAATTGTCCTTGAGCATAAAATTGAGGCCATTCTTAAATTCTCTTGTTAATGAAACCACCAACATATTTCAAACTTGCCATGATTTATGACTTTGCCCTGTAAAACTTCATGAAAAATAAAAAAGCATCTGTATAGAAACAGAGTTTGAGGAAACTTAAATGTGTTCCTAGGCCATGGTCACTAAAGAAGTATCTCCAAAATCAACTACCTCTTACTTCCTTTACAAAATGTATTTTATGCCAGAGGTGTTTGTGCATGCCTTTAAACCCAGCACTCGGGAGGCAGAAGCAGGATCTCTTTGAGTCTGAGGCCAGCCTGGTCTACATAGTTAAGTTGCAGGACAGCCTTACTTAGTGAGACCCTGTCTCAAATAAATAAACAAACAAATATAAATATTAAAAATGTATTTTATTAACGACACTAAAAACGTCAAGAGGAATTCCAATTCCCGCTGGTTCAGTATTTCTCAAACATGATAACCAAATGAGGTGAATAGACAATTAAGACATTGAAATGTTCATAAGTAAGGACTTAAGAAACCACAGACAATAGAGTAATTTTCTTTGGTGTAATAAAGAAACCAAAGGTACTGATTGATATTGATTCAAATAAGGTACATGCCAGCAACCTTATAGTTAAATTATTAGATAAAACTAATCCTTTGTTCTTCCTGGTGAAAATTCATACAATCTCAAAAGCCCACACCAGTTCCAGTTAACTCTACCTCTTACTTCCAGATCAGATGTAACCAGGCATTTCACTACTGCTCCAGAACATGCTTGCTTGCTGCCATGCTCCACAACATAAAGATCACAAACTCATTCTCTGAAACTGTTAAACCCCAATGAACTCTTCCATAACACCCTTGGCCAGGGATATTCACAGCAATAGATAGGTAACTAAGACGCATACACATATACATGTATGTATATATAAAATACAACCTGCCAAGCCCATTTAGTGTTGCTCAGATTATGTATTTAAGGGTTGACCACTTGGGATTGTGCTACTGGGATTGACCAATCCTAAGTGGTCAATCCTAAACACATATAAACACAAAAAAAAGGCTTTTCCCTGAATAAGATTGATTCTTAGTAGCTTTTCTTTTAGATATGGGGCCTTACAAAATTTCCTCACCTCCTTTTGGCATGCCAACTGGTACAGGTCTTGTTCATGTTACCATAATGTTAAGATCTGATGGGTGTAACTCTATCATATATAGACGACTGCATCTCCTGGCCTACATTGTGGTCCCCAGACTCTCAATATAAACATAAGAACTAATGATAGCCATGAATGAAATGTTTGGATTAAATGTACACTCATAGCAAAAACTATGAATACCACAAAAAAGCCTTATACATCTTTAATCATTTAGACAAACATGGCTGGTAGACAGCTAAGTGACTACCTCCATCCAATACATTCATGTACAAGAGGGGGCATTTGGTCCCTGACAGCCAGCCAGTCAAAGCACTTTTACAAAGGACCAATACGAACACAACAGTACAGTAACAAGTGCTAGTCTTATTCTTAGGTTTCCTCTGACAAAACCTTCCTATGGTACTGTTTCTGCTGACAAAGTATTTCACTATATGTCTTGATAAGAAAAACAAGATACATACAAATAGATTGTTTTTAGACAAATATAGTTTGACAAAATATAGATTGACAAAACAAACTAATATTTGTTTTCTAGAAAACACTAATGTTAAAATAACCAAGGTTACATATTCCTCATGTTCTTTTCTGGAAAACTGTTACATGTAAATATTTTATACGTGTGTATACATATATTTACAGGTAACTATGTACTGTTTAGTTTAACAGAAAATAGCATTTTAGCTTGATGTTTTACATATCAACTACGTGTTTTTATTTTTTATTTTTTGCACAAAGAAAACTTGTGACACATATAGGCTTCCTACTAGCATTCCTCACAATTTACAACTTGAGTGACAGAATATCTGTATGCTGCAATAAAGTTACAGAAGTCATATGACAACAAAAATCTGATGTCTGAACCTTTGCAAATGTGAAGCTACTTCTACTTGGTTTTTCATTTACACTTGAGATGAGGCACTTCAATGATTACCCAAAAAGGGCAAGTATAAACTAAAACTCTTGATGTTAATCTTGTTCTTCATTCAGGTGTGATTAACTTCAGATGGTTTGCATTATAAACTTTTTATTTTTTGTCTTCCTTTTGTTCTAAGTCAACAAGACTGTGAAATACATAGAATACAAATATCACAGATCGGTTACTGTGCTCACAAACAAATGAACTGAACATTACCTGACAACACAAGTTTCAGAAGAGGGCTACTTCAACACTAAAACTTCCACAGCTTTATCATAACCGTGTATAAATACATTAGTATTGAAAGGGCAAATCTCGGCACTATTTCTAGATAAGAATGTCCTCAAATGCATTAACTGAATTACAAGCTATAATCTTACATATGCTTTTGAAATACTGAATTAAAAGATAAATTCATAGGGCTGGAGCAGCAGCCCTGTAGAGGCCTACATTCAGTTCCCAAGCATCTGTCACTCCTATCCTTGAGGTTTTGATGCTCTTCCAGTCTACATATACATGAATATACACACACAGAGGAGGCCAAACACATTTTGCACACATGAAATAAAAAAACATTAAATTTTCCAATATTTTAGTCTATGTTCAATTGTAAGGTTAAAAAAGCACATAAGAACAAATATTTTGTTTAGCCAGTTTTTTGTAAAAGATCGTTAAAACCAGTTAGGACGACTCACTTTCAACCTTAAATTGTATACTGTACCTATGCATTTATAGTGAATGTTTGGTGAGTTTAATTAATAAATATTAGATTAGATACTAAATTCCAATTTTTCCATAAATTCACTGTATTATATTTTGCCAACTGTCTGAATTCAATATTAATACCTTTATTATTAAAGAAAATATCTGACTCTAAGTTTTAGGTTTATACAAAAAGAGTTAAAATCTTGACATGAGACCAGGTTTGGTGGTACATGCCTACAATCCCAGCCTTTGGGAGGTAGGCACAAAAGGGTATAAATGATGAGGCTAGCCTATGCTATATAGCAAGACTCTCCCCTAAAAACAGAGCATTTGTAGACCTGTTAACTACCAGTGATAGATAAGATTAGTGGCTGTTTATAATTTGAGGAAATTTATAAAGCCTAGATATACCCAAATATCTTTTGATAAAATACAAAGTCAATACTCACTCAAACATGGTTATTCCAAATCCATGCATCAAAACATTCCACATGTGTAGACACATTTCAAATCCATGTATCAAAACACTCTACATGTGCAGACAGTACTCTTAATTCCTCTAACATTCTATTCCTCTAGAGACAGACTAGCTTGTAGCCAATGGGATTTCAGACACAGCTCTTCTAAAACAAAAAGTTAGCCAATATTCAAATAAAAACAAGAGAGAGAATGCATTTATATAGAATGACAAAATATAAGCTTGGCAAAAGTACTGACTTTTATTATTTACAACTGCATGTATCAAGATTACAATAGAAACACTAGTGATACCATCTGAACAAAAGCAATGATTTATTGGTAATGGCAACAAATAATAGATTAACAGTTTCCGAAGAGAATCAAGCAATTATCCAGGAGCTGCAAATCTGACTGCAGTTAAGTCTTCCAGTGTCTTTTGTACCCTAATGACTTTCTCCTTTTTTGCCAACTACCTAGAAAAACAAAAATAAAAAAATTATGTACAATTTAATGATTCTAAATTATGTTTTAAAATAATACTAACATGGTAATAATTTCAAATGACTTTAGTCCTTTTGTCCTGGTATTACTTTTTAATCCTTGAACCTTTTCTGCATGCACTGTGCTTGTATTGTGGCAGCAAACTGTGATGCCCCTCCCTCTAAACACAAGGAATTAAACACATGCAAGCTATTTCCGGTTTCCCATTCTGTTTTAAGTAATATAATTTTTCCAAACCAGGTTGACAGTTTAGAGAAGTTAATAATAATAATAATAAAAGATGCTATCAGCAAAACATTCTTAGTGTACTAGTTTTAAGCAATTAGAAATCAAATGTCAATTACAAAATCTGTATTTAAAATACATTAAATTCATGTCTTCATATCAACTGATGGGTTTCTAGGCATTTCCTTCAATATGTAAACATGAAATGAAAACAGAATGAAAATGATGAATTCTTTCTAGCTTTTAAAAAAAACCTGGTTGCTAGAAATAGACTGTAAGAAATATAAAAAATAAACTGTGTATCTGAGTGATTAAAAAAAGTCCTGAAGTCTGTAAAAATACCTGATTCCTATAAATGTAGTGCCCAAAAATAAATAAATGAATAACAAAGCAAAAAGAACCTAGTGTCTACTAGTAAGTCATGAAAACAGGTTCTCTGTTGGTTCTGTGGTAGAGTAATTTATCTAAAGAACAGAGTTTATCATTAGTTAATATATTTTCACAGCATAAATATCTCAAAAAATCCCTCTATAATGTACTACATACTATACATACACATGCATTAATAAAAGTGATTCTGTTCTTAATGGTAATGTCTACAGGTCACTAATACATGTCTGGTCTATAACAGAAAATAACTAGGTCAATGCCATTCATGAAAAAAATACTTAAAAACTATTTCCATTGAGAATTATTAACCACAGAAAGTAATGTTTTTAATTTTTGTTGTAGTTTGTTTTTTCCCTCAACCAGGGAAAACATTTCAAGAAATTCCTCTTTGGTCCATGCAAACTATGGTACACTAGTTCAGAAGTCCAAGGGACAATAGTGTCAAAAAGAGAAAAGTGGAAAAGAGTAAGAAAAATGGGGCTTTAAAATACACCAGAATGCAGGGGAGATGGTACCACCTGTACCATAAGTGAATTTTAGCTGACAGACAATAACAGCATTATTGACCACTATATTACTTAGGAAATGCAAAACACAGAGCTATTAGATTAAGCAAAAGAAAACAATTAATATCATAACAAAATTTTAGAAGATGTGATACAGCAGAAGATGCAAGTCTGCATACTGTTTCACAGGGTGACAACTCTCAACTTGCCAATATGTATTCTCTGTAAAAAAAGAAGAAATTCAGCATTCCATGCGGATTCTTACCCCAAACATAAAGCTCTTTCATTCTGTTTTAAGTCTTTATGTTACATCTCAGATAAACCAAAGTCTAGGTACATCAAAATTAGATGTTAAAAACTTTCATTCAGTAAAGAATCCATTGGTCTTCCACATTAGAGTTTTAACCCAGCCTGTTTAGTCCATACATTCTTCAACTGGACTTGAGCTCACATGGGTAAGCATGAGAGAATACAACCACAAAAAGATTTTGTGGCAAATGTTCCAATAAGAAAATTCATAATTTGCAACTAAAACCAAAAATGTATGTAACACTGCTCTAGTTAGAAAAAAAAAAAGAACAAAAAAGTTATATTTACTTTCCAAAACAATTCTCCTGTTCCTAAAATATAAAACTCTAAAATGGATAAAAATATTACTCAACTAATTACGTTTGAAAGCACTTTTAACATAAGTTTTACTCCAAAATTATTTCTTAAAATATTGAACAAAATTAAATAGGAAACAGCAGAAGGTTAAAAAAAACAAAAATAAAACTGCCTTATGAGCAACATAATATGGTAGGAAAATTAAGGCACCTATAATTGCAAGCAAAATAAAGGGCCAACTGAGAGTCATGAGTGGGATGAAATCTGAAGGAAGAGGTGGTTGAGGCAATCTAGGTAACAAGAAGGCTGATCCAGATGCTGAAGCTGAAGAAATCTCGCAGCAACAATTGAGGACATGGGGAGGGTGAGAGTAGGTAGGTGACAGATGAGTAATGAAGCAAGGAAGGGGTACAATGAGACAAAGTCTATCTTTATATTACTTCATTAAAAAAGAAAATCTTCCAGTTTTAGTTCATTGAGTTGTATTAAAAAAGCTGAAAAATAAACAAATAGAAATATTATAAAAATAGCGTATGTGGTAAATGGCCAGTTTAGAAAAGTCTACTTTATAAAAAGTGATAAAAACGTGGTCTACTTTTCACATGCACCTTGTTACCTAAGAAGCAAAAGCCCCAATTTTGTCACTTTTGCACACCAGTATTTTAATATAAAGCAATCTACGTAAAAAGCCTACTTTAGCAAAGAAAATATTTACTCTTAATTAAAATTGCAAGCTTTTCATGCTGTACCATGAAGAATGCATTTACAACAAATAGCCAAGTATGCATGATGCCTTTGAGGGCCAAAACAGACAAATAGAGGGTGTTTTCTATTCTAGCAAATCTAAAGTGAACTTACAAAGCTGTAACAACATGCAAAGTCATCTAACGTAGCTATCCACAACCAAGATGTATCCATATTACCTTCGCTTCTGTCAACTTAGTGATGTAAAGGAAGGTCAGTGACATGCTGAAAACTAAAATCATCTACAAAGAACTCACACACAGAAGATATACACTGAAAATACTAAAAACTTTCTATTTCACGATCCATTAAATCATTTTACATAGATCTCTTTCCTCACTATAGAAAAGTTATCAAACCTATCTTCACTGAATATAGGATACACACCAAATATACTTTGAAAATTTAAAAATCATAACATAGATCCTTTTAATTTCAGATTAAACTGTCAAAGGAAAGATGGTTGTGAAGGAAAAAACATCACTGGCTGGAAACAGGAGACTACTGTAACTGTCTGTTACGCTTATATTGCCCTGAAAGAACACAATCTAGTTACAAACAGAAGAATGACTGCTGTGACATGGTAATGCAGGAGCAGGAAAGTCAAATGCATTACTGTTCCAAACTTAGAATCCAAAACTCATCGAAAGTTAGTGACAAACTCTGTAAAAGGACCAAATAAGCCAATCTCACATAAATCCTCCTATGCTTTTCTGCATTCAAGTTATTGTTTCTTAAATATAAAAATAACCCTAAAAGAAAATGAGTGACAGCAAGCAGAATAAATCTTAACCAGAATTAAAGAAGCAATGTAATATTAAAATGCTTAATATAGCCAAGAAAAGCATTCAACCAATTAAAATTTCAATTTTGAAATCAAAGGACTCAGAGTCCTGTTCTTAAATTCTTATAGCAGTTCCAACAGTGCTGCTAGGGACCCTAAAGCTGCTCATTGAGGACACCTACAGCATAATACTAAGCATTTATTTACTTGTTAAATTCTCTTTCTCTTTCAAATACATATTTTGTTTTCAATGGAAACATGGGCTGAGTACAAAAACAGATATTACCATAACTCTATTAGGCTAGTAAAGAAATTTATAAAAACATAAAGCTGCACTTCTCTTATTAAGTGTTTTTTCATTTCAAAAAGGGGTTGAGTTTTTAAATTTTATTTTAAGTATATAAGCGTTTTGCCTGTATGTATATAGGTGGAAGGTGTGTGTGCCTGGTGCCAGCAGAGATCAGAAGAGGATGTCTGAAACCCTGGAACTGAGTTCCAGACAGGTGAGCCACCAAATCGAATCTGGGTCCTTTATGAGAGCAACAAGTACTCTTAACTACTAAACTGCCTTTCCGCGTCATGGAGAGTGTACATTTCATTAGAAATATCACTCCTAATTTATAATGAATTTATTAATTATAGTTTTTTTTTTTAAAATTCCCAGTCTATTTTTGTTAAGGTCCCATACTGGTAGCAATCACCCTCTCTCAACCAAACTTGCAGGAAAGCGGTTGGACCTAGAAAAGATTCTGAGTGAAGTAACCCAGATCCAGAAAGACACACACTGCGCTGCCTGCTCTCTCTCATCTGTGGTTCCTACACCAATCTTCAGATGTGAGTGAACAACATGGAGTGTCACAGAAACAAGTATAAAGGGACCATGGGGTGGAGGTGGGGTCTGAGGGGAAGAGCAGGATAGGTGATATGAAGTGGGAAATGGGAAGGGACTCCGAACAGAGAAGTGGGAGACCAATTCCAATGTGGTTTGATAATCAAGGAATCATATTTTATATTTGCCTAAAATTATACAAAATGTATATTAGCATACACACACATCATAAAAGAAGTTAAGCTACTTGCACTAACAATGCTCCCAACAAGAACCACAGACTAACAAAAATCTCAGTACCAGACTCAAGAAACCTTTTCTTGGTCAGTGTAGTCCAAATGACTACCAAAACCAGATTACCATGTGGCCCTTGGTTATCTCTCAGGGGTTGAAGTTCAGACCCTATTGCTGAAAACCAAACATTGAGAATACATAACTCAAATGACTTGAGCTGGATCTGACCTGAAAGCCTCTTTCTGTGGTCTAACATTCATGATTCCAGAAAATACTATAAAAACTATCAGAGGAAGGAAGCAATTAATTAGCCCTTTTTAGCTGCAATACCTATGAACCACAACAAGTACCACACAGCAAGAAATGCATACAAGTGCAAGAAGTGGCATTCACATGTTGGTTGCAACCAAGAACTGTCAGCTTCCCAGGGCTAGATCTTAGAAAACAATCTATTACTGACATTTTGTTAGACCAGCATAATCCTTCCCACATTCTAAATCTTATCCTTACATCCTCATGTAAGTGTGGCCACCATATCTCACCAAAGCTTTTCCTTACATAAAAAGAAAACGAACTCAATGAAGAGATCATGGGGAGCCTGCTCCAGTGGACATGTCTACATAAGAGCTCCTGAATCTCTGGTTGAGGGAACAATGTGGAAGAGGCGGGAAAGAAAGTGTCTAAGAGACACTGTTGCAAGTCAGCTGTAAAACCGTATCCTAGAAACGGCTGTATAAACAAGACAGGAACAATAGCAAAAATCAATGGGCCTTTTAATGTCGAAGTATCCATCTTACAGACAAAGCACTATAGGGAACTATTGACTTCTAGCAGAAGAAAACTTGGCCTCTCCCACAGATGAGTTGGCTGTTCCAGCTGAGTAGTCAGGTTTAAAACCATATACATGAAAAGAACAAAAACAGTACAGCTGGTTGTAAAAAAATAGTAATAATATATGAGTATGTAATAATAAATAATAATAAAAGAGGCTATAAAATTGAGATTGAGTGTGTGTAGAAGCCTGAGGGAGGGTTTTTTGCTAATGGACTTAAAAATAGGAGGGGAATGAAGGAGTCAAGATATTGATATAATTCTCCTTTACTTAAAAACATTAAAAATATTGTTGCTAATATATAATAGACTTATTAATTTTAATTTAAAATTGTTCCAATTCCACTTTTTCTTTCTGAATCTCACTCTTAAACCTAGGAGGCCTCAAACTTGATAGCAACCATAGTACCTCAACTTTCCAAGAGCTGAAATAACAATTATGATTCACTCTACCAGGATTCTCAGGTCAATTTTGATTAAATAAATTTTAATAAAACTCTTCTTGATCCTCAATCACCTTTCATATTTTAAATGATACCTGATACTGAGAAGTTTAAGAACTGCTACTTTTAATGTAAAATGAATTTAAAAAATAAATTAAAAAAGAACTGCTACTTTTTCCATGATTTAAATAAGGTGGAAAAGGTAAAGTAAACAAATAATGGGGGCTGGAGAGATGGCTCAGAGGTGAGGAGCACTGACTGCTCTTCCAGAGGTCCTGAGTTCAATTCCCAGCAACCACATGGTGGCTCACAGCCATCTGTAATGAGATCTGGTGCCCTCTTCTGGCATGTAAGCATACATGGAAGGAATGTTGTATACATAATAAATAAATCTTTTAAAAAAAAGTAAACAAATAATATAAAACAAATATTTCTAAGCAAGTGCACCTCCTAAAAGCAGCTTTGGCAGTCAATGAGAACAGACCAAGTGACTAGATGGATGTGAGACAAATACTTAAGCCAGTTAGTTAATAAGGCAAACCAGAAAGATTACAACTGAATAGCTGACTGGTAAAAATGCAGAAGCGAATGTTACTTCCGTTAAAAGAAGTTGAATAAGCATAAGCTGAAAGTACAATAGGATATTGACACAAAACACTTAATGACAGGAAGACATTAACCTGGCTTACAGTAACAAATCTTACAAAAGAATTAAGCTGGTAACAAACTGCAACAAACAGTTAAAACCAATGCCAATGGCATTCCATTCAAGCCAGAAAAGCAGACAGCCAGACCATCTCTGTTGCCCACACATTTTCACTGGAAAATAAATCCTATAGGGTAAAAATAAAGCTGCTTGATACCTGCTTCTTCTGACCAAGCATTATGCACATACTAAACAGCTGGGTACATCATCATTCCTACAGCTCCCAGAACTTAATTATGCTATGAGATAGTAAGAGTGACTGAAAACTAACCAGCAAAAGTATGTATTATCCAAGCTTTCTTTTTTTTTTTAACCCAACATGTATCTCATAGAACCAACCACTGTTAAACAATTTAACTAATTTTCTATAAATAAATCAGGTCTGCAGATATCATCAAAAAGAGAAAGTTTTTAGGATCTTCTAATTCCATAAAACAATTCCTTGTATAAAGTATGCTGGGAACTTCCTCCTCCATGAACTGGCAGCTCTAAGGAAACTCATCCCTGCTAATCAGCTCAAGTCCTAAACCGCTGGCCAAGTGCAGTCAGCCATTCTCATGTGGCCAATGTTTCCTGTGCGGTCACACATCTCCTCATATACCGCTGTAGGTTGTATACTGCTGTAGGTTGTATACTGCTGTAGGTTGGCATGAAGACAGCTTTTAGGAGCACCTCATGATCTTGTTTTGTGTATTTAAGCACCACCCACACAACTGCTACTAATAAGAAGCTGCCCCAGAAAGCACGAGAACAGGCTGACCTTGTTCCCCAAAGTCCTGGATACCTGGTAAGTTCCATGGAAACCTTCAGGGCTACACATTACACATAATTACTTTAAATATATTTGCTAAAATGCGTCCTTTTTTTTTTTTTTTTGTTTTGCTTTGTTTTGTTTTCAAGACAGGGTTTCTCTGTGTAATTGTCTTAGCTGTCCTGGAACTCACTATGTAGACCAGGTTGGCCTCCAACTCACTCAGATCTGCCTGCCTCTGCCTCCCAAGTGCTGGGATTAAAGGCGTGCGCCACCACTGCCTGTCTGTAATGTGTCATTTTAAGACACATACAATGCTTGGAAAATTATAACATATCCATATGTTAAAGTTACTCAAGTCATTGTAAATACATTTTCATTTTTTGTCAGCTGAATCCTTAAACATCTTACTATGCCTTTCAAGCAATAATTTAATTATAATTTCCCTATTATTCCTAAGCATTTATGTAATCAGACTATTATTTTTACTCAGATATCATTCATTAACATTTATTCTATCAATTTAGAGTTATATTTACTGAAGATTTCTTTTAGTTAAATATCTCAACATGTAGTATTCACTTAATCTTCCATAAGATAGTTTTGAATCTTTATGTTTAAAAGCAATGACAAATAAAATATAAGAAATTATTCCTTTTAAACTGTATTTGTATTTTCCTTAATTATCATTTGAACAAACTTACTCGTTTGAAGTCATTCATATTTGTTGCCTGCACTGGAGTACCAATGAAAGTAAAATATGAAATTCTCGTTGTCTCTTCTTCACCTTGATTAGACTGAACGAATAACTACAAAAAAACAAATCACATTTATAATTTTTAATTACAATCTATTTTTAATGAGCATGCTTTAGATTTAATTTGTTTTCTTAATAAAAATACCTTCCACCTTTGTAAGAATTAATCAAGACTTCATAACACACTAGTGTTCCTAAAAAACTGCCCATTCCCTGTCTATACTGCAGATCTCACCTTCTCTAGAAATGCCCTGGCGAGACGCCCACATACGAAGTTCACAGCAGTTTAATATGATGGTATAGAGAAGTCATAATTAAATTCTTTACAGAGAACACTGAATAAGTGTGAAATTCATGATTACAATGGGTGCTGTTGATAATTTTATTAAAATCAGTCTTTCAACTATGGAAAATCTCTGTAGTTGTATTCTTTCTAATATTCAAGCACCCATTCTATTTCCTTGAATACGAGAAGAAATGATAGTGGAAATCTGTTCCTAAGGCTATGCTCTGGCCTTTGATGTGTTTGAAAGCCTGACTCTAAACTCTTTTATTTTAAAATTTCCCTCAGTATATAAAGAATAGAAGCAAAAAAAAAAAAAAAAAAAAAAAACCTCCATTAAAAAAATACGATAATGTAAAAATGTTCTCTGTTTAAAAATATTGTCTTTCGGGCTGGAGAGATGGCTCAGTGGTTAAGAGCATTGCCTGCTCTTCCAAAGGTCCTGAGTTCAATTCCCAGCAACCACATGGTGGCTCACAACCATCTGTAATGAGGTCTGGTGCCCTCTTCTGGCCTGCAGGGATACACACAGACAGAATATTGTATACATAATAAATATTTTAAAAAAATATTGTCTCTCACTGGACAGCAAGCACAGGGCCTGCATGAATCTGCACTAGGTTCTCTGCATTATGTATCATAGTTGAGATTTAGTGTTTTTATGGGTGAGTGAGTGAACAAGTGGGTCTAATACTTATGCCTTTTCTTGGGTTGTTTTCCTTCTGTTGATTTGTCCTGTTCAACTTTGTTTTTTTCTGTTTGTTTGGCTTTTTTTTTTTTTGAGACAGGGTTTCCCTGTGTAGCCCTAACTATCCTGAAACTCACTTTGTAGACAAGGCTCGCCTTGAACTCACAGAGATCTGCCTACCTCTGCCTCCCAAGTGCTGGGATTAAAGGCACTGCCTGGTGCCTGAACAATTTAGACATGATGGTTTTTGTTTTACCTTATTATATTCTATTTTGTTATGTTTTGTTGTTATCTCTTAGAAGCCTGTTCTTTTCTAATGAGAGACAGAAAGGGGAGGATCCAAGTAAGAAGGGAGATGGGAAGGAACTGTGAGGAGCAGAGGGAGGGGAAACTGTAATCGGGATATACTGTATAAGGAAAAAAAATATTTTCAATAACAGGAAAAAATGCTGTCTCTCTTCACTTGGATAACAAATGTTATTACTCTAAGACATTGCTTATCAATTTTATTGTTTTCATAGGCAATCCTAGACTCCTTTCAGAGTTTATCTAATCAATTTAAATATAATAAGTACAATATTAAATCAGTCCCCAGTTTACTTTTAAATGCAAACACTCCTGTTTATTGTGTTTATACTTATTTTTAAAATCTATCTTTCTTTGATTAAACTGATCAAAACTATTACTTTAATTCAATGTTCATCATCACAAAAGTAATAGGTATGTCTTATTTGTTTTTACTTAGATCACTGACTAGATGTCTGGATTTAACGCATAGTGTCTTGAGCAACAGTGTTCTACTATTATGTGACCTTTGTCTTAAACTTCATTTAGACAAAATGTCTCAGGTAATTAAAGCTCAGCTTGTTCACACAGCTTTAAACGATCACAGAAACTGCCCATGTCCATTGAACCCTCCTGAAAAGAACTTAACAGTGTTCTCTGATTATCCCTTGATACTAAGGCATCGCATCAATCTGTCACGGCTTGAGTCAGAGCTCTCTGGCTGAGCTCTCCTTTCATTCCACTCAAAATCATCTCTGGCAGTATCCAACATCCAGATACACCTTAGCTGTGTCTTAAAATGTAAGACCATCTTTGCAAAAGGTCATTTTTAGCTGGACATAGTGACTCATGCCTACAATTTCAGAACTTGGAAGGTTGAGACAGAAGGACTGTTGTGAGTTACAAGCCAGCGCAGGCTATATAGTACATTTCAGGCCAAAGTAGGCTAGAGTGAGATTCTGTTTCAAAAACAAAAACAAACAAACAAAAAAAAACCCAAACCAAAACAAGCAAAAAAAAAATATCCTTTTTTAAAAGCTAGCTTTAAGCCGGGCGATGGTGGTGCATGCCTTTAATCCCAGCACTTGGGAGGCAGAGGCAGGCAGATCTCTGTGAGTTCGAGACCAGCCTGGTCTACAGAGCGAGTTCCAGGACAGGCTCCAAAGCCGCAGAGAAACCCTGTCTCGAAAAACCAAAAAAAAAAAAAAAAAAAGAAAAAGTCAGCTTTAGTAATACTATAGTAACTACACTGAAAGACTACAATTTGAAAAATTAAACAGAATTTTTACACAGGTACTAACACATATCACCAATTGAGATAGAGTAATCATAAATATCTCCAGCTTAAACAAACGGACAAATCCCATGAATCATCCTCCATTCCTCAAATTTACCGGACAAACTTACTTTAAACAATCACTTAGAACCACCGAGGACACAGAAGACAGCCCTGCTGCTCACCAACTAAAGAAGATACAGTAAGGAAATGCACTCACAGTTACACTGTTAACATTCTGAAATTTAACATAACGAAGAGGGACAATGCCATCTTCTTTAATGTCATCTTCTGTCAGTTCCAGAGCTTGAGTTGGCTCACTCCTTTCTGCCTCCTCAAAATCCATAGATCGGGGTAGGTTGATAAAAATTTTTACATATTTAGGACCTTGACCTATAAAATGGTTTAAAGAAAGAATTGAAGTGCTAAAACTACAAACACACTATATTTTCCTATATCATCAATGCATCTTATACAGAACCTGTGTAGGGCCACATATATATTGACACATAACAACATACACAACTTCAAAACCCTCTACTAAAAGTTCTAAAAATCTGAATATTGACAGTCAATCTTTTTCCTCTAATACTTATTTGCTGGTATCTTCTTAGCCCAGTTTCATTCTACATTAGAATATCTGCTAAATATTAGGAATAAACACACACACACACACACACACACACACGAGTATACATATGCGTATATACATAAACAAGTTTCTGCCTTCAGTGCCAAAAGCCACACTAGGGGCTGGTGTGGTGGGGCACGCCATTAATCCCTGCACTTGGGAGGCATAGGCAGGCAGATGTACATAGCAAGCTCCAGGTCAGCTAGGGCTACATGGTGAGATTCTGTCTTAAAACAGAAAGACAAGTTACACTATAATAAATACAACATTATCAGTGAGGAGCTACATGGAAGGTAGCAATGGATTTTGATAGTATATGCAGGTGAACAACCTTTTATAAAATAAACAATAATACTAAGTTTTATGGTTGCCATCAACTGGCATATTTTGTTACCCACGAGGAAAACATCATTAGCATTAACACTTATTCAAAAAGAAATTAATCATAAATTAGTATATCTTACTTTTCTTAGATATTAGATAAGTAATATGCCCATTTTACACCACTTAACTCCTTCACTGCCAGTATATGACTTAAAACTCAGATATGTGGCTGATTTAATCATACCATTTCCATAGAATTTATCTACCAAGTACTTCATAAAATTTTATTATTGAAAACTTATTAACATAAGAAAGTATATAAAAACAAACAAGTAGACATTATTAAACAAAGCCTTGGCCAGGCATGGAGGCATACGCCACCTTTAATCCCAGCACTCAAGAGGCCTGGCCAATCATTATTTTTGATTCTAAAAAAATTATTGTTAAATATCTAGAAATGAGAGGAAGAATCAGTACTCTGTAAATTAAGGGGAAAAAATTTTTTTACTTTAATTCTTAATAATTCCACATTACTTGGCCATTTATAATCTTCAATGAACACATGGGAGAACGACCTCTATTTTTCAGTTCCCAGTAACCACATGGTGGCTCACAACCATCTGTAATGAGGTTTGGTACCCTCTTCTGGCCTGCAGGCATACACACAGACAGAATATTGTATAAATAATAAATAAATATTTTTTAAAAAAGTTTTAAATGTAAGCTAACAGGCTTAACAAAATAGAAAGTCAGTTTTTAATTAACCGTCCTTTACTCACCATTATCTGGTCCTTGAAATTTCATGGAATACAGCTTAACAGGTTGGTTGAATGCCACAGTAATAAGTAGCTGTGAGGGAAACAGATTCAGCACAAAATGACTTGTCAACACCATGAATTAAAAAGAAAAAAAAAAAAGGCTAAGGGGAGCTAACATAAAGGTGGCACAAATCTAGTTCATCTAACAAAACCATTGCAATAAAGAGATTCTGTATGCTGAAATTAACTTCATTAGTTTGACAGTTAAGAACAGCCACTATCAATTACTTATGTAAAGAATGGCAGAAAAAAGTAATTTAGGTAAAGGAACTTAAGATCTAGATCTGGGGCTGGAGAGAGCACTGACTGCTTCTCCAGAGGACCAGCATTCAATTCTCACACCCACACAGTTGCTCACAGGCATCTGTAACTCCAGTCCCGGGGATCCAACACCCTCTTCTTGCACCTCCAAGGGCACCAGGCATAATGTGATACAAAGACATAAATGCAGATAAGACACCTATTTGCATAAGATAAGTATTTAAAAAAAAACTAAGATCTTGTGACCTACAAACTGGAAAATAACATACATTCCCACAAATGAAACAAAATTCTTAAATAAAATAAATGTAGTTCTTAAATTTTAATATGTAACACATTTTTCTAGTGTGTCAAATACTTAGTCATATCACGTGACTACTGAAAGGTAATGCAGTCATGCAGAAAGATGGACCCTCACATGAACTGTGACCTAAAATTCACAAAGCAGGACTCTTGAGACCAGGATGTGGCTCAGTGTACACAATGCTCTGAAGTGGTGGAAGGAAGAAGGGCCTCCACAAACTTCATTCTAAATTTCTCTAGAAGGCCACATAAGGAACTAAGACACCAATGCAGTCTAGATTCTCTCAGAAGCTCTAAGTTATCCATAAAGTTTCTTTCCATCCAAAACTGTTTACTGCTAAACTCCTACCCTGTAAGAAAGACTTCCCTTAACATAAGATTTCAGCAAAGCTGTAGACAATGCTACAGTCTACACTGTCATGTTTTTAGGCCACTATACACAGGAATACAGTATGAATCACAGTTCTGAAGTAACCCTAGATAGAAGAAAGGGTTTAGACTTATTTCAAAACTATACTAAGGTCTAAGAAAACGGCTAGACTATTTTCTTTGGTTACTCAACTTACTTTTTATACTTGACTTATTAATAATGGGTCCAAACAGCAAGCATGACATGTGCAAGGAGCTGAAATGCTGGGAAAAAGCAGGTGAGAGGGAAAGCTAGAAAGAGCAGGTCAGCAAGACATCCGAAAGATGACAGCAAAGAGTCATTAACTCTTACAAGAAGACGCAACAAACATGCAGACTTCAGACTTTATAAACTTTGGTGCTCGAGTAGAAGAGAAAAATTTCCCACACAGTGGAATAGGGAGTAAAGCAACACCCAGAAGATAAAGATGACATGATAGGTGTTTACCCTTCTTTCTCCGTGGCAAAAGCAACACAGGGGAAAGAAGAAAACAGTGTTTTTATCTGGGACTAAGCAGACAGTCTTCTACGGGAAGGCTTACATAGACAATCGCTATTGCTCAGACACAAACTATCTGGATAGGAAAAACACAGAAAGCAGTTCTTAAAAAACGACCAAGTGATGGTGGTAATCTAAGCAGCGGTGGGGCCAATCATGAGCGCTGCAATGTTCTTCAGAGCACATGGCACCTCACACAGAAAGGAGATGGATCTGGACAGTGATGGGATAGGAGTCAGAGGGATGTAGTCATAAGGAGAACACTACAGAGAAACAAGAGCACGGACAATGACAGTGCCTACTAGCTTTAACATAGGCGCCCAATTACCTGCTCATCACAGTCAGATTCCAAGAAGGACATGTCTTTTCGTAAACAGTTGTCAAAGCCATGCTCATCACTTTCATTAAGACATTCACAACCAGCTTTGTTAATAAAAGGCATTAAATCCATCTGAAACAAAAGAAATAAAAAACTTAGGCAAAGCACTTAGCTTTAGCATAAAAATTATAAAGACTCAGATCTATGATTCTTTCTAGATTTAGCAATTTTGAAAAAAATGTTTGTTTTAAAACAGTTACTGAAATTTTTATAATGGTCTTTTCCTTTGAATTTCTGACTGAAATCTATCACTAATTATTAAAGCAAAATCTAGGCTTACCCTATATGGTAAAGTATTAGAAATCCAACTTTTAGGTCTCATTATTTCACAGGACATTTACTACAAGGAGCTTATGAATTGTAAGTATATATTTTGTGTATCCCAGAAGCCTCTCAAGGGGACCCAGGACACTTGTAACCCAGCACTTGGGAAGCAGCTGTAAGAAACACAGGGCTGAGGCGCCACCTTGGGCACACAGTGAGTCTGAGGTCAACCTACATGAGACCCCCATCTCAAATAAAACCAAACCATACACAGCAAAAATAAATGTACACCAAAAACAACAACAACAACAACAAAAAAACCCAACCAAACCAAAAGAAGCTAACAACACCAACAAATCCGATCATCAAAAGATGATCTCTGTCTCCAGGACTTCATGAGAGGGCAAATCCTAAGCGACAAAGACAAGCTAGCAAGCATAAACAACCTAATCCCATTCGCCCTAAACAGTACTCTGTATGAGCCCCTATGGGCCCCTCCTCCTTTCATGACATCCAGGTAAGAGTAGGGTTCTTATAGTATTTTCCTACGCTTTCCTTATTCTTAACTGTGTTTAAGATGTTTTACAGAGTATATGGCTTCCTGTGAGATACTTAAAATCTGACCCAGGGATGATCCCAAGGTAGGCAGACCCACACAACCTCAGTTCAGGTCCTGGTACTACAAGGACTAAAATCAAAGGTGATCATGAAATTACCACATTAGTAGACTCTTACTAGCTTAGCTATAGATAAAACCCCCTCAAAGCAGATCGTAGAGCACAAGATCATAAGTAATGTTTTAGGAATTTAGAGGTTGCTTTGCTTTAGGTCAAACCAATTAAAAGCACTAACACTGCAGTTGAGTCTGGACAAGTGTGCCCAGGGAACTTCTTTGTCTAATCATTTCTGAACACAAGCACTATGAACCCACACAAAGTAACTACACTGCAGAAAACACCACTTACTCCACCTCCTCTTTCCTCCAACCCATTTCCCAAGTGTTAGAACTACTTTATCCCAAAAGCATCCTCAGGGGCCAAATTAGAAACCTGTCTTCTAATCTTTATGCTTGGCTGACTTGTAAATAAACTTTATCTTTCTCAAAACTTGCCTTAGCACACCAGAAGAATAGGTATCAATGACCTAGTTCAGTAATTATCAATCCCAACTCAAAAAATTAACACTTTTTAATTGGGTGTTATTTTAAATAAATACTAATGATATAGGCTAACAGAAAATAAAGATTCCCACACACAACATGCACACAAAGACAAGCTGTCATGTCTACCTGACTAGTTTTTCAGCTTGAATTTAAAGGGTTTACAGATACACTGGTTTGCTTTACTGTACCAAATATAAACTTTTTAATGTAGTAACTTCAACTTGAGAAACAAGTGTAGACCATAAAATACTATTTCTAAACTCTGCTTCCTCCCCGAATAATCTCAAACCATGCAAAACTGCACTAGAACTATTTTATGTAGATTAGAAATATTATCCTTTGAGTTCTTCAGCCTCCATATCCATTTAAAAAGAATAGTACCCTATTGTTAAAATACATTTAATACTAAAGTTACATTTGATTCTAAGGCAAACAAAAATAGACTATAGGAGGTTAGGTATAAGGGACATTTTACATAACTATAAAAATGAGAAGTGTTTTCAATGCCATGTTCTCCACTCACGGAAGGGAGGCACGCACTAGAATTATTTAATAGTTTAGAAATCAATTCGAGTGACAAAGAATTTAGCAAAAGAAATTTAGGGGAATGTGATTTACAATGTAGATTTATGGTTATAACAGACCAACAAAACTCAATAGCCCACTTTAGTTTGAAAAAATTTTGAATTAATAAGAAAACAGTAAATTTCAATTCAACCAAGTAACACCAAATTTAAGATACTGATCTTGCTCTTCTGATGACATACATAGCCCTTCGGAATGTCTGTGTCCTCGTTGCTTCCAGGATCATTTTCTAGATGCTGCTTGATTTTCTCTTCTAGTCCCACAGCATCTGCTCCTTGATACTGATCGATTCTCACTTTGTTTCGAAAAAACAAAAATGTAGGTGTTGCTGAGATATTGTTCGTGGCAGCTGTTCCCTACAATAGGAAAATTAAACAGTGAAAAAATTAAAACAAATCTTATACCATTTTGATTTTTCATTCTACAACTTTAAGCAAATTAAAATAGCACAAGTCCTAACCAGAAACGTAAAACAATGTACTCCTAATTATTATTTAAGAAAGAACAGACTGGGCTGCAGAGAAGGTGGTTCTTCCAGAGGATGGGAGTTCAATTTCTAGCATCTATATGGCAGCTCACAACCACCTATATGACTCCAGTTCCAGGAGATTCAGTTTCCTCTTCTGGACTCTGTAGGACCCAGGCACACATTACTCAGTCAGGCATGACAAATGAAAAAAAAAAAAATTTAAGGGCAGCCCTATAAGGGAGTTTCTACGGAGACACAGCTACATTACCCATACACCCACATAGAAAACAGCTGCCTTTATCTCTTCAGACATTAGTTCTACTGTCATATACTTTACCCACAGAAGAGCTACCTTCTAATAATAGCAGAAATTGCACTTTATGGTAAACAGCTTTCTTATAATTTCACAGTATGAATTTTTCAAAAAGAAATAACCAAAGGCTGAGCATGGTAGTGCCTTTAACCCCAGCACTTGGGAGACAGAGGCAGGCAGATCTCTTGAGTTTGAGTCCTCTGGTCCTACACAAGAGAAATCAGGTCAGCCAGGGCTAAATAAGACTGTCTCAAAAGAAAACAAAAATAAGGAAGGTAATGATGAGTCAAAACAAACCACTGCTGCTTAGAAAAAGAAGAGCCAATCTATACCCCCTGTGAAAGAAAGGGACATGGCAATGTTTTCTGTCTTGGAAAAGGGGCGCGCTCATCCATTTTCTACTCTTACAGAACTGATTTCGGGTCATCATTAAAATAATAGCTATCCTTTTAAGTTTGCTCTAGTTCTACCCTTTAATACTGAATGGAAATTAATAATAACCAGAGCACCCTATTTAAACTTTTCATGATAAGACTTAAAAACCAACAGAGCAAGTCTGTCCTCTCACATATGTAGATTGTATGAAGAGGTACAGAATATATATCATTCAAAGAAAAAAAGCATAAAGGTAACCAAGGGATATCTTCTCTAAATATCACAGATGACCTACTAGAATAGTGCTACCTTAAAAAAAAAATAAGAGAGACAGAAATATGAGCCATACATGTGATCGTAAATTTCCTGGTATGTATAATAATTAAAAAAACTAAGGTAAATAAAGTCAATATATTTTAGTGAAGTCGATATGTACATTTTCAACATATTAAATATAATGAAACAATTTTCTTTCGTAAACTAATATACCTAAAATAAGGACAGTGATACTATCTATTAACATTTAATGTAGGAAAACAAAACTAAAGTGTGCAATGTCAGGTTTCCCCTACCATTAGAAAAGTTTAAGACAATTCAGATTGTGCAAAAATATTTGCAGAATATACTAAACAAAGTACTTTTACCTCTAACACACAGTAAACACTTACCAAAAAAAGTAAGACATCCAAAAGAAAACCTCTTGGAATAGGTAACTTGACAAATGAGGTTCTTAAGATGAAAATTAGTTAATGAGGAAATCAAGGAAATGCAAATTGAAGCTACTTTTACTGCAACAGGTAAACCAAAAACAGTATTTAGGATGATGAGGAACTGAGCTTTCTATCATATACTGTTCTCAACAATGCAGAGTATAACCACTTTGAGGAGAGGGTAGAAACATACTTTAAAGATAAGATTATAAGTGATGAAATTAAATCTAACTATTATCAAAAACTCTCCACTATAACTTTATGATTAATAAGCCAATGCCTCAGCAGATACAGAACTGCCAGATAACCTGCTACTTTAACAACACTGCATTAATTTCACCTCATATTTTTAAAAAAAACTTGAAATAAAACACTTTCATGTTGGATTTCGATCTATTTCATGAAAAACAGAGTGACAAAAGGCTCTTCTGCCTTACCTGGCACTGATGTACATCTACTTCCAAGAAAACTGCCTGTGGATACTTATTACTCATAGAACTGAATGCTGGAGCAATCCTCAAACACGGTCCACACCTGTGAGAAAGACAGAGCTATATTCAGAAAAATAATATAAACACTGTACTAACTTATGCTATAAAAGCATTTATCAGGTTAAATAAAATAAGGCAAACTGATATTCTTGGCACTCTAATATATCCATCTGGGTTATTTATAATACTGATAAACACCAATATCGCTTTAATGAGTACAGAAACAATATTAGGTCTCAGGCTTAAGACTGTAAAATCTTTCTGTTTTGTTCTCATTGAAAGAATATAGCTGGGCAGTGGGGTACAGCTTTAGTCCCAGAACTGGGGAGGCAGAGGCAGGCGGATCTCTGTGAGTTCAAGGCCAGCCTGGTCTACTAGAACTAGTTCTAGGACAGGTTCCAAAGCTACAGAGAAACCTTGTCTTGAAAAATCACACACACCAAAAAAACCACCACCATATGTAATGTAATCTGCTGCTTTCTTCTAGTGTGCATGAGGACAGAGCACTCATGTACATAAAATACACGAATAAGTTTTTTTAAAAAGAAAATAAAAAAATTATGACTAAGTGTGGTGGTGCACACTTTCCATTCCAGCACTGGAGAGGCAGAGGGAGGCTGATCTCTGCAAACTGGAAGGCAGATGGTCTACAAAACAAGTTCTAGGGCATCCTCAGCTACATAACGGAGAGACTCATCTCAAAAAACATACAAACAGAACTGAAGGTCAAAAGTTAAGTAAACTGTTCAAAATCCAACATTCTAGTTAGCAAAACAGCCGGCCACAGGTAGGACAATTTATAAATCCAATCCAATCCCAGTTCTTTTAAAAGAGTTACTGAGTTTTTATTAATAAATAAAAATTTCCTTGCAGCTCTAATATTAAATGATATTCATAAACCTGTTAACTTCTTCCCTGCCTTCTACAATAGCCACTGCTCTTATCTTCAGTAAAGCTTGTGTAAACATATATACAAACATGGATAAAGAAAATGAATGCACCCTGTAAAGTCTCATTTCGGAAGGCTTGTTTTTCCAGAGAGGGTAACTTTCATACAGGCCATTTCTGAATGTATTGTTGTTACTAAAACACAGCTATATCCATAACTGGTTCTGTAAATCACATATTTATTTTAATAAACGTTATTAATAAGATAATATACTTTGGCCACTTGTGACATATCACAATTCACAAAAACGTTAATTCTGGTCACCCCATTTAACATTTTACACCTGCCAAGAACAGGGCAAGGGGAAAGCTCAGTAGCAGACCGTTTGCCTAGCATGTGTGAGGCCCTGGGGTCAATCCCCAGCCAAAAAATAAAAACTCCAAAGAATAACGTCCTAGACTCTAACTCTTTAACCATTTTCAAAAGTCCACAACAGATCTCCAGCGTTTAGTTGCTGTTCTTTATAAAGCAATGGCTCTACTACATGCTCTTCAAGAAACCATAGACTCTTGAAAAGAGTAAGACTACAAAATACAATTTGATTTTCATATAGTTTAAGTTAAGGCAAAACTAACAGTGTTAGAATCCAAAAGTGATGGGAAGGAGCCCAAGGATGCAAGAACCTGGGACTGTTAATGATGATGTACTTCTTATACTTAGTGTTGGTTATAAAGATGAGGCCCCTTGAAAAATTTATACAGGTACATATTTTTGGAGTTAGTGTACTTTTGAATGTTAATCATCAAAAAAACAAACAAACACCACTAGCATCCTTCCTGAATGGTAACTGATACCTAACCTCTTACAAAATAAGGCCCGCTATAAGAAAACAAAATACAGGGTAAACTGTCTATAACAGGAAGATCTGACTTACTGGGGAAAAAAGTGATATACTCACAATTTCGAGATAAAAATCATTCCTATTATACAAACGGGGGAGAAACCATACGTTCTTTTAGGTTAGTAACCAAAACAATAGAACAGCACTGTTGATAATTATTCTGGCCATTTTTAAGAAGCAACTATTTAGAGACAGTATTTTGAAAATCTTATCAGAATAGGAAGTTTTTAAAATGCCTTTTTAAAGATTTATTTTGTGTGTTTTGCCTGCATGTGTCACACTGATGTCTGATGGACTTGGAGGCCAGAAGAGGGCATCATATCCCCTGGAGCTGGAGTTACAGGTGGTTGTGAGCTACCAATGTGGAAGCTAGGAATTGAACCAGGGTCCTTTGAATGAACAGACCATGCTCTTAACTGCTAAGCCATTTTTCCAGTCCCCAGAATAGATACTAACATATAGAATTAATTCTCTTAACAGTACAAATAGGTCAATTTAGTCTCATCTTGTCTGGAAAATATAAGAGAATAAACTGGACTGTTGTTGGGTTATAATGTTAAGATTATAATGCAGACAGAATTGTAGTTAATTTGTTCAGAGCAATCTGTATTAAAAATGAATTAAAGCAGAGATTGAAAAAGATGTAATATGCCAATGTCCACAGTAGTTTTCATTATTTTTAATAAGCAAGCACAAGTGTCCACCCACAGACAAATGGATAAAATGGTACATACACACAATGGGATATATTTGCAATCCTGATGCATGCTATGCTACAGATGCACCTTGAACGCATGCTAAGTGAAATGACCAAGAAGCATACATTGTTATGGTTGCACTCACATAAGATGGCTAAAACTGGCCAATTCCCAGAGACAGAAAGTGCAGTGAAGGCTACCAGGGAAGTAGGTGGGTCTGGGGAAGGTGAGGTCTCACAGGTTTGCTCTTCTGGAGAAGTGAGGATGGGGAGTTACTACTTAACTGGTTCGGTTTCTACTTGGGATGATAAAGCCATTTTAGGAAATAATGGTGATGACGACGTACTATGTGAGTGTACATAATACCACTACGTTACACTCTTTCAAACTGCTAAAGTGACTGCATATGGAGGTGAACACCCATAATTCCAGCATTCAGAAGGCAGGAGGATCACAAGACGCTAGTCTGAGCCTCAAAAAGAAAAAAAAAGTAAAATCAATGTTATGCCCTATACATTTTACTCTAAAAAGAAAAATGGGACTTGGGGTGTAACTCAGTGGTAGAGTGCCTGCCTAGTATGTTCAAAAACCCTGCACAAACACTGAAGAGTTCTTGAAAATTTCTTGAACAAAGCAATCTATACACTGCTTGAGGAAAATTAATTTAGACCAATGGTTGATAAGCCATGTGCAATTTAGCTTAAAGTACATCATTGAAGTGAAAAATCAGATATTAGAAAAAATTATGCCCTTAACCTAAAATGAGGTAACATTAGCTTTCCCTGAGCAGTTTGGACAGACTTTACTGGACATGGTTATTTGCAAGTCCAGTATAAATAAAGCCAGTTACACTGCCAATGAGCTCAGGGTGGGATGAATGCTAGGACTGCCCATGTTTAAAAAATGTGGAAGGATATTTGATATTTTAAAAGTAAGAAAGAATGTTAAGGGTAAATACAATCTTACTAGATTCATAAATGTTACTTCAATACTCTTTTAAACTAAAAATGCGATCTAAATGTAAGCACTAACTTGCCTTCAGTTTTCACAAAATTGTTTTTATTGCACCGAGTCACTTAACAGTAAGTATAATCTAGCTCAATCCCCATGCGTGTGTTAACCACGCTGCAGCCTGCTAACAGGAGTTGCAGCGGCAGCCATGTCCCCCACCTTCCTCATGTCAATCTAGCTGCTCATTACTCTGCCCCTGGTACGGTGCGGGGGACAAACCACTGAACCACAAAAGCGCAAAAGCTCCAACTGACCAAGATTAGAAGGACGGACTAAAAATGAGAGGCCTTGAAGCCATCGTCCTCTCCTCTGCTGTAGTCTAGCCAACAAATGTGCAGGTACTCTCCTAGTACAGAAGCTACAAAACACGACAACATCGCTAAAGCTCAGACACGTTTCTAGAGTTCCGACATTCCCTTGAGACTTGTATTAATATATATGCCATGGCCCCCGCTCTTCCATTTAGTAAATGTAAAAAGTATCATGTCATGTGGGTACTCTATTTCCCTCTATTAATTTTTTGCCCCTTTCCAGTTCTCGGGAAGACCGGCTCAAACACCAACAGAAGCCCTCTTAGCTGTTTTCACGTCTGTTTGTACCCCGATCGCCTGACGCTATCTACATTTGTATGTTTCCTCCGGGATTGAAAAACAACACAACTAACAACACGCACAAGAAAACCTGTTACATAAACAGCAGTACTGGGACTAGATTACTTCAAGTTGGTATATGCGTAAAAACTGCCAGGTGCTCAAACAAAGATCTCTAAACCTCCTAACTACGTACTGCTTACATACAAGAGCTCTGTAAATACACGCTGAATTGCGCCTGGTGGTGGCGGCGCAGGCCTTTAATCCCAGCACTTGAGAAGCAGAGGCAGGCGGATCTCTGTGAGTTCGAGGCCAGCCTGGTCTACAAGACCTAGTTCCGGGACCAGCAACAAAGCTACAGAGAAACCATGTCTCGAAAAACCAAAAAAAAAAAAAAAAAAAGAAAAGAAAAGAAAAAAAAATACACGCTGAATCTTGGCTCTTAGGGCCTACTTCCTATGTACAAATAAGAACATTATTACACACCCAATAAGCGACCCACCAGTTTTGTGTCCTTTACACTGTGACTTTATCCAAAGACAATTAACATCTTTTCAGATCTCTATCATCTAAAATCATTAAGGTAAAAAGGTAATTTGGGTCAGGAGGTGATGGCGCACACCTTTAATTCCAGTATTTGGGAGGCCGAAGCAGGTGGACCTCTGTGAATTCGAGGCCAGCCTGGCCTACAAGGGCTAGTTCCAGGACAGGCTCCAAAGCTGCAGAGAAACCCTGTCTCGAAAAACCAATGGGGGAAAAAAGGTAATTTGGTCACCACAGAGGCCTGTCCAACCGGGAACATGTATACACTGTATTCTGTGTCTGTTATCTGCATATACAAAGGAGCCTGACAATACCAACCATGGTACAAACATGTTATGCACATGAAAAAACATTATGTCCCATTAACTTAATTCAAAAGGCACCAACTACGCCTTAAGACTACTTTATTAGGACTAGATGGGCAGCCACAGCTGCATCTTCCAAAGGCTTTGCAGAAACGCAGGCGAAGAGAAAGCAAAGCGTTTGGAAAATTAAGCCTTGAGAGATACGAAAATGCAAGCGATCGCCGTCTCTTCCGAAAGACAGGAACCGGCGCAGGCAGCAGAGGCTGGGACTCCCACAAGCTGGAAGAAGTCGCGGGCCGCCCCCAAGAGCAGAGCACATCTGCGAATTTCAAGTCGGCGGGTTGGCATGTCCTGAGCCTGCAAGACCCAGCAGAATGGTCCCTGCGCCCGCCCGGACGTCCCGGATGCACATCTGAGACCCGCTCCCTAGAGCCGAGGCCTAAGCCCGGCTGCGGCCTGGGCTGTAGTCACCGCCGGACATTCCAGAGCAGAAGCCGACAGGAGAACAGGGACCCGGAAAACGAGGCGGGGGTGGGGGAAAGGGACCCACAGAGGAATGCCAACAGGGCCCAGACTCAGCCTCACCCTCTCATGGTGAACTTGACCACAGCAAGTCGGGAGCCCGCCCCACTCAGCTCCGGCTGGAAATCTGGATCGCTGCCGACCGGCTTCACTCCCACCATCCTCACAGAGAGCCCGGCAGGGCGGCCGCGACGCTTCCGGCTTCAAAACTCAAAAAGAAAGGCCGAGAGAGGCCCAGAGGAGCTGCGGGAGGCCGGGGCCTGGACCGGAGCGGCGACCACGACGTGTCGTCCCCGGAGCTCGGAGTGCCGAGTCACGCCAGGGAGCAGACGAGCCGAGGGGGAGGAGACGGGCAGGGAGGGGAGCGAGAGGGACAAGGCGCGAAGCACCCAGCAGCCACCGCGCGGAGGGTGCCTCTGCGCTGGAGTGTTCGACGTCATTTCCGCGCCTTCCGTTTGCTTGCTCAGCTGAGCCTTGTGCTACCGGAATGGCGCAGGCGCGGGTGCAGACACAAACACGGGCTGTGAGAGTGGGCGGTGCCGCTGCCGTTTTGAAATTGATTCCCTAGCTTCGCTGACCTGATGTTTGCTTTTGTATTATTATTGTTGTTGTTGTTGTTGTTGTTGTTATTTTACTGAGGATGGACTCCCTCCCCCTTTTTCCATCGTGGGCCCATGGTTGCTGCCTAAGACCATAAGGCAACCTTTTGCAAGAATTTTGACAGTGATCCTGTCTTGTATTCTGGCCAATTCCCCACGCACAAAATTGATGTTAGAAACGTTTCTTTACGGATTTCATTACATAGGGGTGCCCTTTGAGCGGTCATTCAGAAAGTATTATGTATCCAAATATGACAAAAACGAGACACTGGCATTTCTTCAGGAAGCTGGAGTCTAGTGACAAACAGCATGGATGAATTTAAATAGGAAAGTTGGAAACAAGATGAACTTGTGACAGAAAGTAAAGGATGAAACGTCACTTCAGAATTCAATCTTGTAGAGTCAGTGGGTTTAAAAGGGGGGGGGATATGAAGTGGAGCGGGGAAGTGGGAGGAGGATGCCAGAGGGTTTGGAGTGGGAGGGATGTTCAAGCCCACTATACAATAGTTAGTTAATACAGTCAGCTGGAGCTGTGTTAACAAAATACCACAGAACAAGTGGCTTACACAAAGCAACTCTCATGGGCCTAGAAACTAGAAGTCCAGAAAAGAGGGAACTGGTAGAAACCAATGTGACAGAAGGGGGGGGGGGGACTGCAAGAATTAATTTCCTGGGGTCCTGTTTATTTTTAGGTGACTTCCTTTGCATTGTTGATTCACATATGCACAATACAGGCTCATCTGTTCCTTTTCTTAGAAAGATACCAGTTTTATTAAGTTAAGACAGGATGGCTAATTATGAAAGGGGAGGGGTATGAGAAGGAAAACCCTCCCTCCTTTTGTCCTGAGTCTATCACTGGCTAATACCCAGGTGTTTTTGAAATAAGTGACGAGGCCACAGATCAAATAACGACCCCCTTTCTGAGACACTTCACACACCAGATTGTTAAAGCCATGCAATGACACCACCAACAAACACATGGAGAAGACATCATGGGCACACTCCCATTTCCAATAGCATTTTAGACAGCAAAATATCTTTATGTAAACATAGCCAAGGAGGTGAAAGACCTCTACAATAAAAACCAAAAATCTCTGAGAAAAGATATTGAAAAATACACTAAAATGTGGGACGATATCCTGGGATCATGGGTCAGAGGAATTAATACATAAAAATGACCACCCTACAATTTACAGGCCCAATGCAATCTGAATCAAAATATCCACAACATTCTTCACAGATATCTGAAAAAATTGTAAAATTCATATAAAGTCAAAAACACCACAGATTGAGCAAACTGAGCAAAAGGAGAATACTAGAGGATTTCCAGATGTCAAGATATATAATCAAAAACAATATGATATTGGCACAAAAATATACATGTACACCAAAGAAACAAAATACAAGACTAAAGCATGGGCATTCATAACTACAGTCACTGGAGGCAAAAGGTATACACTGAAGATAAGACAGCATCTTTAACAAATGCTGATAGAAAAAGGGAATATTCACCTGAAGAAGAATGAAAGTAGACCCATGCACAATTGACTTTCCTACATAAAAATTATCCCAAATTAGTCAAAGACTTTCAATTCAAAACTTGAAACACTAAAAGTGCTAGAAGAAAACAGACAGGTCTTCCCTGAGATACAGGTGTAGGAAAGGACATTCTGAATTGGGTACCATTTGCTAAGGAATTAAGGTCAACAATCAAAAACTGGGGGCTCAAAACTAAAAAGCTTATGTTCATCAAAAGAAACAACCAATCGAATGAAGAAATCTACAGAATTTGCTGGTTTATACATCAATCAGAAGATCAATATCCAGATACACAAAGCTCAATACACAAAGCAAGGAAATCAATGGCCCAATTATAGAATGGGCTAGAGAGATCTAAACATGGAGTTCTTAATAGGAGAAACAGAGAGTGCTGCCAAAGGTTCTGTGACCTCCAAACAACTTATGTTATACCATTTTCTAATTCATGTCCTTCTCTTCCCTTGCCTTTTCTTCTTTCTTTTTTTACTTTTTTTTTTTTGAGACAGGGTTTCTCTGTGAATCTTTGGCTATCTTGGAACTCCCTCTGTAGTCCAGGGTGGCCTTGAACTCACAGAAGTCTGCCTGACTCTGCCTCTCTGAGTGCTGGGATTAAAGGCAAGTGCCACTATCACCCGGCTCTTGGCCTTTTCCTAGCTAGGAATAGTTATAACTCCTGGCTGTCAACAGTACTGGGAACACTGTGAGAAACACTGGCCTGGACACCTGGCTTGCTGGTAGAAGTGCAATGTGTCTAGATGAGAGAATACTGAATTGGGCATCTCATATTCACATTAGAGACTCTGCTCAGTAGAGTGTCAACAGATGCCTATAGGGAGAGGGAGGCTTGGACAGTATGATTCCTACAGGGGCCTATTATGCCTCTAGAATGCACCACTGAACTGCTTAGCACTAACACAACTGGTAAGCACAAATACTATAGCTAGCTAGTGAGCTCAAAGACTCACTTTCCTACTACAAATAGAGGTCGTTTAGTTTTAAAAATCAGGGCTACTTTTCTTTTTCCCTATTATCACTCCCACAGAGACCAGAAGTGTGCTACCCTGAGTCCTCTTGAAAGTTTTGAAACAGGGGTTTTCTCCATAGCCCTGGCTGTCCTGAAGCTGACCTTCCACTCAGAGATCTGCCTGCCTTTGCCTCCTGAGTACTGAGATTAAAAGCAAGAGCCACCACTGTCTGGCCCACTTGGTTTTTTCAAAATCATATTTATTTATTAATTTTGTGTGTATATATGGAAGCCCATGTTCCACAGCGTGTCTGTAAAGTCCAGAGAACATATAGTGGAAGTCACCTCTCTCCTTCCTCCATATGGACAAGTTCCAGGGATCAAACTCAGAGCAGCAAGCTTGGAGGCAAGCACCCCATCCATTGATCCATCTTTCCATGCACAGTCATTCATTTTTGATGTGGTATTTTTTTTTATTTTTTAACTCTGCCTTACATTAAAAAAAATTTAAATGTGTAAATACCATTTGGAGTCTGGAAGATTAGAAAGAATTTTGCAGATAAAGATATATGAAAATTTCCAGGATAGAAGTCACAGTTGAAATTATGAATGTTGGTGATCTAATCAATAAGTAGAAAAGGTTATAATGGGAAGTTAAGGACAATTATACATGGAGTAAAAACAAGGGGCATTAAGAAAGAAAGAGGAAATTGGAACATGATAAAAGTCAAGGGCCAGAGACCAAAAATATGAAGACTGAGAAACACCCTTGAAAGTAGTGAGGTTTTAATAGACTGTCAATGCAATTCAATGAATTATAAGTAGAATCAGCTTACCATTCAAAGTGAATTCGTTAGAGCTTGAAGCTTCCGAAGTAAAAGCTCATTGCATATTCCTATCTTAGAGGAGGTGAACTATTGTGAGCACCCCTTACAACAAACCACAAAGTCAAGCAGAATAGTTGTTATGTCTATTTATTTTATTGGTGAAAAAAACCTGACAGATAAACTTGCATCTGTGTATTTCTCTTTGAGCTACACTCTGGGTTACACAGAAACCAACGTAACATATTCATGGAAGCTTAGCTTTTCTTTTTCTAACTTACCTCTTTCTTGCCTGAATGTCTTCATAACTACAAGTATTATATACAATAATAAATATGCAAACCAAGATATGCATGAGAATTATAAAAAGAAATCCAGACAGCTGAAACAAAGATTAACAAGTAATTAGGCTTTCTGTATCAAATAATCCATCATTTATCTAAGCAGAATAAGCTTTGATGGGTGAACTTTTCAAAAACATGTCATCATTTTTCTATCAATTTACATAAGCCTTTTGGTTTCATATTTCCTAGAATTTCCAAGAAAATTTGAGAAGAATCCACTAGACTCAAACCCCACATGAGGATAATTTAAGACTGTATTCTCGGGACTGGAGAGATGGCTCAGCGGTTAAGAGCATTGCCTGTTCTTCTTCCTAAGGTCCTGAGTTCAATTCCCAGCAACCACATGGTGGCTCACAACCACCTGTAATGAGGTCTGGTGCCCTCTTCTGACCAACATACACGCAGACAGAATATTGTATACATAATAAATAAAATTAAATAAATAAATATTAAAAAGACTGTATTCTCAAACGGATGTGGATAAGTCTCACCACTCCTCAGGGAAACATTTTCAGAGATTTCTAGTGTGATGCATACCACGCCCAGTGCCCATTCCTTCCTCATTTCATATGGGTGTTGAGAGTCAATTTTCTGTGGGCTCTACAGTCAGCAGTACCCTCAACTGAAACTTCTCACACCCACACTTCACTATTATTTGGTCCGGGTTACTTCACTCAATATGACTTTTTCTAGTTCCATCCACTTTCCTGAATATTTCATTTTTTTAAAAATAGCTGTATACATACCACATTTTCATTATTCCTTCATCAGTTTAAATTCATTGGTTGAATGGACCATTTTGGTTTGCATTTCCCTGCAATTGTGGACAGAGAAGTAAAGAACATGAATGAAAAAAATAACACTGGAGGAGTAGGTTTTCAAGTCTTTGGGCATATGTCAAAGCGTGGTACAGCTGGGTCATATGCTAGATTTACGTTTTTCTTTTTGAGAATTCTCAACACTGATTTCCAGAGTGACTGGAGTAATTTCTTACCCACAACACAGAACCAGACAGAGAAATTAGTGAACTCCATGAATAGAGGAAGCCTGCTTTTGTGCAATGCTCCTATGGATAAGAGAGAACGGGTAAGTCCTCAGGGCTGGAAGAGAAGAACACTGGTCAAACTTCCCCCACCTCAGTGCTGCTTCTGTTCTCTCCTCTCAGTTATGAGTATAACCTCTTTGATGTCTTGGAAGTTAAAACAAGCTCAATCAATAACTTAGGTTTGTCCGTCTTCCTCCCAAATGTTGGTTATTATGAATGAATGAATGGAAGGAAGCCAAAGAGATTAATGCATTTGTTGCAACTGGCTGGTTTTGTTAAAAAGATAGGAAAAATATTCATTTCATGTTTTGTATTTTTTCATCTTTATAAGCTCTGTAGATTTTCAGGTAGGTGAGAATTTTGCAGTCCTGGAAAGCTACTGCATAAAGAATGCACTTGAGAATTTTCTTATTAAGCTTCAGAATCAATAGGTCTGAGGTAAACTTTGGCTTTTGGGGATGTGACCTGAAGGAACACACTGAGTAGCAACATCATAATTGGTCTTAACCTAGAGCATGGGACCTTAAGGTTCTTGAGCAGAGCAGAATCAGTTCTTTCAGACAGTATAATTCCCTACTAATTTGTCCAAAAGCATGCTGAAGTTTGGTGTGGGTAAAAGGCTTCCTATCAAAAAATTGTTATTTCTGATAATTACAAACTTTTTCTTTACTTTATTCCAAGTCTGGACATATTCACTCCAGAAATATACGAGAAGCACCAGTATCCCGATGTTTCCTCATAAGCTATAGCAGCCAGCTTCTGTACTGTACTTAACATAAAGAAAAAACAAAACACACAGCGAAGAAACAGCTAAAAAATGTTCATTGTCCTCAGCAATTAAGGAAATCAAAACTTTGAGACTTCATCTTACCTCAGTCCAAAATGTCAAAAATAACTGACCAAAAATGCTGGAGATATGAGGGCAAGAAATAAGAAGTAAGCTTGGTGGGCTGGCTAGAGTCATCACAGCGTTTAGTTAAGAAGACCTGGATGTTTTCCCAGGGTAGAGTGTGTCTGTGTCCTGGTCCAGGGAAGACCTGATTTCCTAGAATGACCATTCCATCCTCGTATGCTATTCCGTCACCTTACAAAGGATTTGAAAGTGAGAAGGGACCTTAGACTAGATGCACAGTAACCAACATGGCGGAGGCGCACTTACAGCGGGTTCCAGTCGCTATAGTAACCAGACTACGCCTACTTCGGCTGGGCGTGCTGAGAAACCGTGAGCCCTTTCCACTCCACCTCGTTTTTGCGACAGTTGCAGGGCACTTCACGGCAGTCGAGGACGGTGTCTGCTGATTTACGGCAAGTGAGGCCGGTGTCAGCTGATTTACTGCAGCAGCAGCAGCAGCGGCAGCGGTAGCGGCAGCGGCGGTGGCACCTTGCAACCCAGGCAGGGTGACGGTGGCTGCCTGGGCGTGTGGCTCCCCGGGTTCGTCCACCCGGACTCACGGCCGCCTGGTTTTCCTCGCGTAAGCCCACGCCTTTGCCATCTTTGCGGAGGCGCCTAAAGCATCTCCAACAGACATGGTTATCGCCTGAGGTGAAGCTTTGACAGGTAGGAGCTCTGAAGCCTCTCAGAGAAAGCCTAGCTCAAAAACTTAGCCTTGGAAGGCAGGGGCAGAGGTCAAGGGTCACGAGCCCTGCCGGGCTGGGGATCGTTCCTGCTGTCAGATTGTTACGGTTGATTGCTCTGTGTGGTGCTTCAGGTCACCTGCAGGAGCCTTTTCTCAGGAGCGTTGGAGCTCATCAGGGTGTCTTTAGGGCCCCTAGCCTGGTGACATTTATTGCTTGTGAGAGTGGCCCTAGTCTTGAGGTGGACTGCTTGGCTCCCAGGGATACTCTGAAGTGGGTCGGGTGACTTGCGATGCTTGTGGGTGTTTATTGGCAGTGTTTTGGGGGCAGCGTTCTTGCTTTGGGATGCCTATGTTCGGATCTACCTTTCCTTGTTGGTATTACTGTTCAGTTGGCATTATTGGCTAAGGGCAACAACGCCTGTAAGAGGTACATCTTGGAGCTGGCGCTTGATTGCCCATTTTTTAGGACTTGCTTTGACAGGATGTTTGCTATTTTTCTTTCTTTCTTTCTTTTTTTCGAGACAGGGTTTCCCTGGGTTTTTTTTTTTTTTTTTTTTTTTTTGAGCCTGTCCTGGAACTAGCTCTTGTAGAAGACCAGGCTGGTCTCGAACTCACAGAGATTCGCTTGCCTCTGCCTCCTGAGTGCTGGGATTAAAGGCGTGCGCCACCATCGCCCAGCTCCTGCCTTTGATTTTAAAATGATACTGTTTTTGATCCACCTTCAATGGCTGCACCTTAAGTTCTATGCAGAATTCCCTAGTTCTTATATTCTGCAACTCTTGCAGGTTGAGGTTGGTCACAGGATATATGCCTGTGTTCGTGTGGCTGACTTTAGTACTCAGTACCAGCTATCTAGTCCTTACCTTGTAATATTTATCCCGGGACAAAAAAAGGTAAACTACTTTTTAAAATTATTTCCCTTCCTTCCTCCCTCCCTCCCTCCTTCCCTCCCTCCCTCCTTCCCTCCTTCCCTCCCTCCCTCCCTCCCTCCCTTCCTTCCTTTCTTTTTTTTCTTGTGACAGGGTTTTCCTGAGTAACCTTGGTTGCCCTGGGACTAGGGCTGTAGACCAGGCTGGACTTGAATTTGCAGAGATCCACCTACCTCTGCCTCCTGAGTGCTGGGATTAAGGGTGTGTGCCACCATCACCCAACTTTTCTTTTTTTATTTGCCTATTTTTGCTTTTTTTGAGAGGAAGTCTCTCCTTATATACCTTTGGCTGTCCTAGAACTCACTATAATACAGGCTGGTCTCAAAGTCTCAGAGATTGGCCTGAGATCTGTTTCCTGAGTGCTGAGACTAAAGGCACACACCACCATGTGTGGCTATGATTCTTTTCAATGACTTTTATTCTTAGGGCTTTCTTCACAAGATTGCAACCATCAAATGTTATATGAAAGAAACTGAGTTGTTGCTATTTTGTTGCATAAAATTTCTAGTTTGTTTCAGCTTTTCATTTTATAAGTAACCTATGACTATATGGAGGTAGTTGGCAGATCTGAAATGAAAATCTTGCATTGAAATTGACTTTATTATAAAGAATGAAAATCTAGTTTGTTCTTTACTCAAACAGTAGATAGATCTCTGGTGCTTCAAGTCAAGAGACAAACTAGCATCACTACAAAGAAATGTCCTATTGTCAAATGTTAATGAAAAATTATGTAGGAAGTTAATTTGTCAAAATTTCTATTTAGAAATTCTCCAGAACTCTACTTTCCTAGAAGGACAAAAGATTTGGGGGACTGGATGAATCAGAGACTTAGTCCTACCCAGGGGAACTTAAAATTTGGGGTACAAAGCCTTATAATCTGGACATTTTCTTATATCATGACTGCAGTTTTTCCATGTGAGAGTTCAGCATTAAGTAAGGGAGTTAGGCAGGGTGTGGTGACTCACACCTTTAGTACCTACCTCAAGAGAAGTAGGCTGGCCTTGGGCTTTAGTGGTGTGCTATCTGTTAAGAGGTGAACCTTTGAAGTTTATTTTGAACATAAGGTAGAGATGGCCAAGCTCAGTACTCATCACTGTGGTAGTTCTATATGCTCGTTCATATTCTATCCTAGTATTCCAACTCTTACTCCCATTCTCCTGCTTATTCACCCAGTGACACCCAGTATAATGCACGCAAGGTACCTCCTTTTGCCTGTGTTACTACATGCATACTGTTGGGAGTGCCTAAATTTTTAATTCCCAGAGCTTATGTCATGCTATGCGTTGTTTCTTTCCTTTTTTTCCCTAAATTGACTATTGCTTCTAATTTCTGAAAGCTACTTTATTTCTTTATTTTATTTTAAAAAGATTATTTTTGCTGGGTGGTGGTGGGGCATGCCTTTAATCTCAGCACCTGGGAAGCAGAGGCAGGGAGATCCTTGAAACTACAAAGCTAGTTCCTGGACAGCCAGGGCTGCACAGAGAATCTTTTGTCTTGGAACCCCCCCCCAAAAAAAAGATTTATTTTTATTTGTTTGCCTGTATGCCATGTGCGTATGCAAGCCTGCTGAAGCCAGGAGTAGGTATTAGATCTCCTGGAGTTGAAGGTGGCAGGAGGTTGTGAGCTACCTAATGTAGATGCTGGGAACTGAACTCTGGTTGTTGGAAGAACAGCAAGTGCTCTTAAACTAGCCTCTCGCCCTGCGGTATTTTAGAGTGTACATTTGCTGTGGTTCATCTGTCTGCTTCATTTGTGGCTATCCACAGCATCTTAATTTTTCTAACACTATAGTATTCCAACATGCCTTTTAGTTGTCTGTGAGACGTTTCCTGATTATGCAGCATTCATATGTTTATTGGTGCTCTGTCAGATTATGTTGTAGGGTAAGCTGGAGAGGTCTATGCTCCTGCAAGGTAGTTCTTGGGGTTCCCATATCCTGTCCGTGCACTGGTGCTTAGAGATACTCAGAACCCCATCTCTTTTTCCAAACGATTAAATATAAAATTAAATGTCAATTTACAATGAATTTGAGTTTTAATTTTTTTCTTTGTGGTACTGGGATTGAACTCAGGCTCTCAAACATGCTGGGCAAGTACTCTGCCACATGCTGTCTTCCCAACCCTGAAACCGAGCATTTTCTGATAAGCTTTTTATCGTCTTCTGGCTTTTCTTTCTGTAAACTTGCCTATTCATCTGTTCATCCATTTTTATTTTGAGGTTTCTGTCTTAGTCTGTTGCCAATAACACAACTTCACGGCCCCCCCCCCCCCCCGTATTATGAAGTGGGTTATTTTTGCTCGGTGGGTGTCCTGGAGGTCCAACTTTGAGGGGCCTTTTGTGATAACAGCCTTCTTAGCTGGTACTGAGGCAGCACATGTATCAACTAGTCAGACAGGGAATGCACATGTATATGCATATGTGTGGAGACAGCACATGCATCGTCCAGCCAGAAATAGGAAGTGCACGTGTGTGTAATGTGTGGAGGAGGCATATGTATCGTCTAGCCAGAGACAGGAAGTGCACATATGTGTGCATAGGTGTGGAGACAGCACATGCATCATCCAGACAGAGACAGGAAATGCATATTGTGTGCCTGTGTATCTTCTGGCCTCCCTGCTTTTATAAAACTACCCTTGTTTAGTTAACGGGCTCCATTCATGAGGACATCAGCCAATCACAATCATTTCCCAGGGGCCTCACCTCTAAATAGCATGGATTAGTTTCCACTGCTTTACAATGGGGATTAAGTTTCAGCACTAAACCCTGGTAGATCTACTCTGTCTGTATCCAGATCCTAGCACAGATGTGTGTGGTCTATCTGAACTTGTTCATGTGAACATGACTGGTGTTTCCTAGACACCAGTCCTGTAAGTATTGCAAACGTATCTCTTCCCAATATGCCATTCGTTAGTAACTTTCCTGTGATGCACTTCGCTGAACAGACACTTTCAATTTCAACAGAATAGATTCTCCCCTGCATTTAGTTTGTGGTTATAGTTTCATTTCTGAAGTTTTTCTCGAATCTTTCAGTTATTCCTCATTGTTACACTTTACTGATTTCATAGTTTTCTTTCAAATTTATAGAGCCTCGGATACCCGTTCTCTGCTCTTTTGTATGTCACAGGTTGTGATCCAGTTTCTTTTCCATACAACGTGTCAGTTTTCCTGTGTGCTTCTCCCCCCCCCCCAATAATAGTGCCACACTTACTTCATGCTACCCTCTGACATTTATTCCAACACTGGATCTTGTTCCTGTAGTTTATTTTTCTGTGCCTGCTCTGATGCTATGCTCTCTCTTTCTCTGCCCTTTAAGAATTATTATTACGATGACCTGAGATTCTCTGTAGACCAGTCTGGCTTCTGTCTCCCGAGTGCTAGGATTCATGGCTGGTGATACCACACCCAGCTTACTTTTCTCACTTTTATTTCTTTTTTTTTTTTTTTTTGAGTTTTTCGAGACAGGGTTTCTCTGTGGTTTTGGAGCCTGTCCTGGAACTAGCTCTTGTAGACCAGGCTGGTCTCGAACTCACAGAGATCCACCTGCCTCTGCCTCCCGAGTGCTGGGATTAAAGGCGTGCGCCACCACCGCCCAGCCTCTCACTTTTATTTCTGTAGTGTGTATGTTTGTGTGAGGGAATGCCATGTGTATGAGAGTGGAGGCCAGAGAGGGCAGATGATCCCTGGGCTCTTCGAGTTTCAGGAGGTTCATAGTCACCAGATGTGGAGGAATTGCAAGGAAGGGTTTCAGAGGGAGAATATTAGGGTTTCACTTTAGGGCATGTTAACTCTCAGAAACTTAGTTCTGCCCAGGAGTTTGGAGTTCAGAAGCCAGCCCTAAACGAGTGGGAGAACAGCCGGTGTATAGACGATACTTTCTTTTGAAGAGGATGAATGTTTCATTTGTTTCCACTGTGCTGCAAAGCTGCTGCTTCTTTTTGTAAAAGTAGCAGCAGCAGCAGCCAGTGCAGCGCATGGTAAAGTTAAGGAAGACTGCCCTTCGTCTGACGCTGTGTAACACACACTTTCTGTGTTCCCAGGGCTTTCCAATTAAC